AAAAGGAAGACTGCTCCATCTCCTTCCTCCAACTACCAAAAAAAACTTTAAAAAGTGGTCATTAACACAATGTGAAATATCTCTTTTTAACCCAACTATTGTTGTTGTTGTTGTTATTCAGTCATTTGTCTGATTCTTCACAACCTCATCTGGGGCTTCCTTGGCAAAAATACTGGAGCGGTTTGTCATTTCCTTCTCCAGCTCATTTTAGAGATGAGGAAACTAAGGCAGACAGGGTTAAGTGACTTGCCCAGGGTCACACAGCTAGTAGGTGTCTGAGGCTGGATTTGACCTCGGGAAGAAGAGGCTTCCTGACTGCAGGCCTGGTGCTCTGTCCACTTGGCCACCTAAATGCCCTATAGTTTTACTATACATTCTGCTACATACAGTTCTACTACACATTTTACTGTTGTTTGGCAGGAGCTCCTTAACGGCAGTCCATGAGGTCAAAGCATGATTAAAAGAAAAAAAAGATTTTCTTACAAAGCTCACCCACTCTTGAGTAACAATTTAATGCAAAGTCACAAGGACGTTTTTTTTTTTATCCTTCTCCAAGGAAAGTAAGGTGGGAAATATGTTGCCCCACAAATTTCTGCCCTCAGGGGCCTTCCAACACAGCCTGATCCAATGCTTTGTTAATGAAAGATGGCTCCCATCTCTTGCTCTCTCTCCCACACACACAAATACACACACACATACACACATACACAAATATATACACACTCACACACATGTGTACACACAGGGATACACACACACACACACACACTCACACACACACACATACACAAATATATACACACTCACACACATGTGTACACACAGGGATACATATACACACATACACCCACACACGCTCACACACGCACACTCCCTGCTGAAACCTGTTCTTCCCCTTTGCTCATCTTTAACTTCAGCCTGGCCCGAGATAAGATCCATGCTTTAACATCATCCTTTACTCTCCTCTGTTCCAAAGCCACATATTCGAAGTAGAAGAGAATCTTTTTTTTTTTAACTCAGCATGTTATTATCTCTTATCTCCCACTGCCCACCCCACAACTGAACAATTTCCAAAGAAAACCCAAGGCCCTTGTAGACTAAATGCTCAGTCTGGCAAACCAAGCTCCTACCTTGTGAGAGCCCCTCCGTCATACGGGTATCCCCCACACCTGGAATGCTCCCCCTCTTCACCTCCGCCTCCTGGTTTCTCTGGCTTCCTCAGATCCCCAACTAAAATCTCACATCCTGCAGGAAGCCTTCCCGCTTCTGACTGTTTATCCTGCGCACAGCTTGTCTGTACAGGTTTGTCAGCCCATTGTCCCCCTTAGACCATAAGCTCCTTGAGGGCAGAGATTGTCTTTTGCCTCTTTTTGCTTCCCCAGTGCTTAGCACAGTGCCCGGTATACAGTAGGTGCTTAATCAATGTTTACTAACATGGTCCAGATGCAGAAACGTGTGTCTCCCTCTACCGTTTAAGCTCATCAGCTCTTGGGCAGGAGGAGCCTCATCTTCATTCTTCTGGAGCCATGATTTGTCACTGCCCTGACCAAAGCTATGTTTTTCTACAATGCTGTCATATATAAACTGTTCTAGCCCTGCTCATTTCCCTCTGCTCACAGAGGTGCCCATTTTGTCATTTCTTATGGCATAAAAAGAGTCTCCATTTATACTATAATCTGCTTAGCTATCCCCCAAATGAAGGGCACCCCTGTATCTTCCAGCTTGGGGTCACTACAAAAAAAGCCACTATAAATTATATTTGCACATCCAGGTCTGTTTCCTCTTTCTTTGATCTAGTTAGAGTACAGGCCGAGTGGGAGGCTGGCTCAGATGTCATCCCAAATCACTTTCCAGAATGGCTAGACCAAGTCACAGCCCTGACCAGTGCACCAGCTATGACTGTTTGCCTGCAGCCTGGCCGGCGCCTCTCACTTTATCAATACGATAGTTGTGAAGTGAAACCTGAGAACAGCTTTAATTTGAATTCCTCTCTTAGTGATCTGAAGCATTTTTTTTTTGTTTAGGCAATGGGCTTAAGTGACTTGCCCAGGGTCACAAGCTAGTAAGTGTCTGAGGCCAGATTTGAACTCAGGTCCTCCTAACTCCAAGGCTGGTGCTCTATCCACTGTGCCACCCAGCTGTCCTTTGAAGTATTTTTTTTTTTGGTTAGGCAATGGGGTTAAGTGACTTGCTCAGGGTCACAAGCTAGTAAGTGTTATGTGTCTGAGGCTGGATTTGAACTCAGGTCCTCCTGAATCCAGGGCCGGTTCTCTATCCATTGCGCCACCTCACTGCCCCTGAAGCATTTTTTTAATGTATAGCTTGGGTACTACCTATTCATATCCTCTGACCACTTATCAATTGGGAAGTGGCTCTTACCCTTACAAATTTAAATCAGTTACATCACTTGGACAGGAAATCTTTATCACAGAGACTTGGTCAATGATTTTTCCTAGCTAACCTGTTTCCTTTTTCATTTTAAATGTATGACATTTGTTTATGTAAAAACATTTTCACTGTATGTAGTCAAAACTGTGATGCCCTCCCCTCTGCTGCTCATTTGTAGTCATGATCTGAGAGGAACAGATTCTTACAGCTGAAACTGTGATTCCACTTAAAACGTGACCTCAAGGTTTGACAATGACCTAAAACAAAGAAGGAAGGGGAAAGTGCTCCAGAGAAACCAGGCTCTCCAGTGCTCCTGGAGAAGGTGGGGCACTGTCCCGGGGCAAGGGAGGAAGATGTCACAATGTTCTGAAATCTGAACATGAAAATTAACTAGTGCTCCATAGCTGAGGCCAACATGAAACCTGTTTTGGTCCGATGGCATTAAAATACCTTTCTTCCAGAGCTCCTTTGCTCTTGATTAGAGAGCAAAGAGTCCACACAGCAAGTTTACATTAGGAAGCAGATGGGCCCTGTATCTTGGGCCTATGAAAATCTTATTTACAGTGTTGTCCATTTCACGCTGTGATCTCATATCTGGAACCAGCTCTTTTCCCCATCTGCAAAGAACAACTGTTCTCATATGTGGATAAGGGAGTGAAGCTCTGGCTGTAAGGTCTCATGATGTCACACTCCAGCAGGAACCACTTACAGACACTTGGGAACAAGACCTACCATATTGATCAGAGCTGATTCACAAGCCAATGAACGGCCTTTAAGTTTCCTGGCCTGAGAAGTCCATGGCAGTGCTCCCATTCTCTTCCCAGTCCCTGCTGACAACCTCTCTACATTCAGCCTTCCCACTATTTTTCTTAAGGTTTCTTATTTATTTCTTCCTCATGGATACTGCCAGAGTGACCACAGCTGAGAGAGGGTCCCAGCATGGCCCAGGGTAAAAAGTACCAGACCTGGCCTCAGGAGAAGCCGCGGTTTGAATCTTGCCTCTGATACTTACTTCCTTGTGGGACTGTGGGCAATGCCCTCCCCCCTAGCTGAGCTTCAGTTCCCTTGTTTATAAAACGGAGATAATATTCATTTCCCACCTTAAGGGGTCAGTATAAGTATCCAATGAGACAATGTACACAAAGCATTTTGTAAACTTTACATTGCTATAGAAATGTCAGCTGTTATTTCAAAACAAAACAATAAAAACAAAAACAAACAAACCTGGGAAAAAGCTAAGGAGGACTTGGCAAGAAGAGACCCAGAATCAATACTAGCCTTCAGGTCAGCCCAGTTCACTTACCAAAAACGCTTTTTCCATCCAAAAACTACAGACTATTAACCCCCCTCCCCCAGACACTCAACCATGGATGATTCTATAGAGGTGAGGAGAAGGGAGGCAGGATGGCACCTGCTGAGTGCCCAGCCCTGGAGCTCAGGCCAGGCCCTCATCGGAGGCCATTCCTCAGTAAGAGGCGGCGACTGTGGGTGACTCTTCTCTCCCAGGCGAGCTCGGCTGACCAGAGCCCCAATTCACACACACAAGCAGCATGAGGCAGGTAAACTTGGCCCTTCCCCTCCGATGAGCCATGATGTTTTATAACACAATCTGAGGCATGGATGGTCCCTCCCTGAAAGCATCTGCTGGGTTCCTGTCTTCCCTCCGCCCAGAAACAAGGCATCTGCCTGATAATGGTGATAAGCTAAGTCACATTTGCGAATGTTACACAAAATCATTTTTTTTTCCTAAGCAGGGATATTTTTGAAGTGTTTTTCTCTGCAAAGCTCAAAACATGATACAGACACAGTCCAGCACTTGCCTGAGAGACAAACCGAAAGAAAGTTAGAGCTGGACAGTCACTTAGTCTAAATGCAGAGGCCTCGAACAGGGATGCTCTTGCCCAAGATCAGGTGGCTAAAACCAGAGCCCACTTCTGGGAAGTTCATAAAGGAGATGGCTGCTGCCACATCACAAAGCCCCACTGGTGACTTAGGTCCTGCACTGCATCTCCAAGGTCACCAAGAGCCACCACCACGTGCCAAGTGAGGCCCTCCAGATGACCTCCCCCCATAAACCCCAGGGCCATCTCTGTGCATGGTTCTGGGGTGAGAAGTTAGAAACACTTGAGCTGGGCTTGCTCTATGAACCAGTAGCATCAAATTCCCACCTCGCATAAGGATCTGTGAGTCCACACACTGACTCAGAAAACCTACTGCATATGTAGGTACTTGGTTAATTATACTTTAATCCGGTTTGGGAATGTTAGGTCACAGCAGCCTGGGGGCCCTGTGTCTGCCATCTCTGTTTTAAGCAGACAAACTCCCTAACAGCCCTGCAGTGTTAAAAGAAGTCTTCAGAAAGCAGTCTCTAAACTGGTTCTATATCTGTGTAATGGCCAGCAAACTCCCCAAACTGAAAGAATGTCCTTCAGCTAAGGCAGCTCAGAGCTTCCTCTGGCCAACGTCCGGAGAAAAACCACCCAGATGCCAGTTCCCTGTTAGCCTCTGAATGGCCACCATCGCCATGGCCATAATCGATAAATCATCATGACTGTTTAATCAACAAACATTTATGATGTTAACAAAGCATTCTCATGTCATGTTTCACACACCTGAATAAGAGTCCCTCTCTTCAAGCCAGCTGAGACACTCTCCTTCGACATGTAGGCCTCAAATATACTCCTTTTCTTCCCTTGGGAGGGTTTGCTCGGCATCTTTTTGTCAACTGGCGATGACCCAGCTCTGGAGCAGCCAACTGCATGGGACACACCTAGGAACACAAAGCACCACCAATTCCTTTACAAGTCCAAGGTCACTACATTTCCAAAACCAGATTCTAACCCTTTAGAATCTCATTTTATTTTATGAAGATGAAAATAGAAAAAATATGACTCCATTGTTTCTCACCATTGTAAAAAATCATGGGCAGGAGTGCCTCAACAAAACCAAAAGTGAACATGCCCACTAGACCTTTAAGGGAAACTGTGCTAAGGGTGTTTTGATTCTTACATATGCAACAAACTTATTTAAATTAGCTATAAACATCTATTTCTAAAAGATGTGGTATCACTTCCTAGGAGGAGTATGAAAAATGCTTGTCTATCACAACAAAGGTACCCCAAATAGAGAAGAGGTCCCTGGGAGCCTGTAGCAACCCTCAGTCCTAGGCACACACTCTCCATCTCTCCCCCCCCCCCCCCCTGCCCCAATTGCCTTTCATACCTTTTGGAGCTCCCAGCTGCTTTGGGTGTAACTTGCAGTCCAAATGGCTCATAGCTTCAGACTCCAAGAGGTGCCTCTTCTTCCCCAGGCTAGAAGGAGCACTGCCACTCTGCTCGGAGGCCTTTCGAGTCCGACTCCCTGCAACCCAAGATAAAGCCGTCAGCGTGGAGGAACACATCTGCTCTGAGAGGCTCACTTTGCACAAGCTTGCAAAGCCCTTCCAAGGTTCTTAGTTAGGGACCTAAATGTCATTTCTGTCTAATCAGCTATGAAATGACTCAACCTGGAGCTGACTTTTCTTTCAAGACTGACTTCTCCCCTCTCTGTTTCATGGATGAAGGACTGCTTTGGCCTTTGCCCTTGGTTTGAATGGAAAACTACTTCAAACGGGGTAATGAAGAAAAACAAAAGGGGCAGCTAGGTAGCACAGTGGATAGAGCACTGGCTCTGGATTCAGGAGCACCTGAGTTCAAATCCGGCTTCAGACACATAACACTTACTAGCAGTGTGACCCTGGGCAAAGTCACTTAACCCTATTGCCTAGCCAAAAAAAATTAAAAACAACAAAAACAAAACCTGCGACATTGTAAGGCACCCCATTTCATCTTTCAGGGGCTCAAAATGGAAGGGACACATGACCCAGGAAAATGGTCCAAGCCCTTCTCCATCCCATTCATCCCCAAACTTAAATCTAGACTCATCTGTCCGTAAGCTTAAGAAAGGTGATCACAAAAGCAAAGCAGTCTGGAAAAATAATAAATCACCACAGATCTCTGCTTTACACCCTTTTCTTCCATCCCATCAGCTCAGACCAGCCAGGAGAGCAGAAACAGCTCCTAAAGCTCATGCCAATCTTGTTCCATGGATCAGGTGACTGACGTGGGAACAGGGCAGCTGCCCCCTTGGCCTTCCATCCCCAGTGGCCACTGGCCCAGAATCCAAGCCCTTACCTGCAAAGTATGCTGGGGGCCAGCTCCCTTTCCCAGAAGACACACCAAGCTGCCATTCTGAACAGCAGTTTACGCTCCCTCTACACTTCCCACACACGCATCCTTCCCAAATGAAATACAATGTGGTTTTTGTTCAAATTCACCATTTTTAAGTTTTAAATAACAAAAGAGAAAAGCTAAGCATCCTAGAAAAAGGAGAAAGTGAAGGGACAATTGCCAAAGATGTAGCCAACCTGATGCAGGAAAGGAGAAAATCTGCTGGCCTGAAACCCACAAACCATGGCAGGGAAGAAAACAGAGCAGAAGCGAGGTTCAGAGGGTTAGCTGGCCTAGGGCCGGAAATAAATATACCACTGGAGGCTGAGTAACAGAGGACAGAAACCAAGGAGGTGACGAGCAGCAGGAAAGAAACTCCACAGTCTGGACGCTCTACTTTTCACTACACCCAAGAATCAATTTGCAGAAACTGAGAGTAAAGGGTACAAAGGCCTTTGGAATGGGAGATTCCACACAGAAGGCTTTTGAGCAGCAGCAAAGACAGGAAGATGATGGGCAGAAGGAAAGAAAGAGGATACAAGTGAAAAGCAGGGATGGTTGCCAAAGGTATCAGAAAGGTGAGAGACAGAAAGAGAGAAGGAACTAGGGTGAAAAGGGGACGCAGAAGAAATACAAGTCAAGAAGTTACTCATGTCACCTATGGGAAATGCTCGATTTGCCAGCTCATCAACAGTAAAAGCTCAAGTCAAGACAAGAAAGGAAATGAAAGAAGCTGAAGGAGCCAAAACATGACACAAAGTCCAATAACATCAAAGACAGAGATATACACATGCCCCAGAAATACAGCAGGGAAAGACCAAATCCAGGGACAAGGAGCATAGAGGAAAGGTCTTCTTCCAAACAAAGACAAAAATACAGCAGTTCCTCAGGATTCTTCCTAGATGCTTTCCCCACAAGGAAATAAATATTCCAAAAAAAAGGTGAATAAATGAAAAAGACTACCAAAGCCACCCCAACCCGAGCAATGAGCTGTAAGAAGAGAAGGCCGATGAGTTTTACAATCCCTTCCTGTCTTAAGAGATGAAGACCTCTGACTGGTGACAGGCCTCTGCCAATTAAGTTAGTCCTGGAGTACCCAGCATGATCACTGTCACAAGGCCCACACTCACAATGAATCTTGCTTCAATAGGGCCTTCCAGAAAACACCCTTCACTGCCGCCATCTGAGCATTGCCTCAAAGCCACAGGAAGATACGGGCACACGGCTTTGGTAGAAGAGCCACTCCGTACAAAACTAACACAAAGAAAAAATAATCTTCTCATCCACTGGCAATTAAAGAATACATCTTAAATTATCGACTCATCCATCCTACTCTTTCCCCACCACCACCACCAAACTTAGGGGAGACTAAAAAGCATAACAGCACCTACATCTTCCACCACCAGAAACCAAGTTTGTCCCTCCCATCTGCACGGCAGGCACAGGTCCCCAAGGAGCCTTTAAGCTCACTGCCACAGATGGCCCCACCACTTCGAGAGGCTCGATCCAACCTGCAATCTATGCTGTTGGTGAGAAGCTGCCTCCAGTGATCAAGGGCCAACCCCCCACGGCCACCCAGGGGATCTCTCGTTAGTTTAACTCAGGGAGGGAGAAGAGAGAGACTGTGGGCCAAGGGCCAAAGTCCTGGAGGGAAACAGCAAGAGCGCCCTCGAGGCGGGCTGATGCTAGCAACAAGCACTGTTAGGAGAGGGCGGGATAACCACAGTCACGAATTTCAGAGGTAAGGGAGTTTCTAAGAGGGACAGAGCAAGGGCCTGCAAGTGACAGCGGACAGCAAGAAGTATCTGAACACTCCCCCTGATTCTGGGAGTCAGGAGGCATGAAAGAAGAAAAGGCAGGCGTCATGGAGACTTAAAAGGTCATGGTGTTACCAAAGGAGAAGCCAGCTTCCAGTGTAAGGAGACAGAAACATAAGAGAACCAGACCGAGGAGGAAGAGCAATTTGTCTGACGGTACAACAGGTTTTCCAAAAGGCATGATATTAAAGCAGGAGGAAAATGGAGCCAAGGTCAGACTCAATATTAACTGAGCATACTTGAAGATTAATGAAAAATGTACCTGAATATACATCAGTATTTACATTTCTTTAAATTTTCCCCTAAAATTTGAATCCCACTGAAATGCAATCTTCTTTCATATTTTTGCTTGGAAGAGATTCTAGGGAGATGGCAAAGTGAAAGGTTACAGAGGAGCCGACTCCTCAATAATCCCTCAAAAAACAGCAAAAGAAATGCCAAAAGAAGCAAAACTACAAGGAATCCTCAAAAGAAAATGTTTAAAAACACTCAAAAATGAACGAGCCAAAGACAGCTCCAACACAATGAAAAAATATTATGAATTTAAAAGAAACAGTGACAAAAACACCAGAAGAAAAATACCCTGAAACACCACCAAATGCAGCATCAGAAACAACATCAGGAGGTTAAGGTAAAGGAAAATGTATAATAAATATACTAAAGGAGACTTCCCATCACATGGCCTACAAGTTGGAGGACTAAACATTGTGTCCAATCTTCATGACCTCTCCAGGCTCTCCAAAACAGGAATTATACCCAAGAGATAAGGCCATTTTAGCTGTCTCCATGACACAGCTGTCTCCACCAAAAACCCAAACAAGGTAAAAACCTGATGAATTAACAAAGAGAAGAATCTCTAACCCACTCAGTACCCCCTCAGCCCCCATGTTCCAACAGTGTGACTGCACAGGCCAACCTAAGGGCTGGCAAAAGAATTCAGTTCTACAAACCCTTCATCCCAGTGCCATGAAAATAAAAATGACAAACGCTTGGTCAGGCCAGGAGAGCAGCACCACCAGCATTCTGTACTGTAGCAGAATTCAGACCTGGGAAAGGATCCATGTGTGCGAGGCCGGGAGGTACTCCACTAAGCCTAAAGAAAAAGAGCCCAGCAGCTGGCTGGGGTCCCCCAAGAAGTCACTAAGGGCAGAGACTGAGGCTGAAGAACTATTAATTGCCCAGTATAGGAGGCTGAAATGGCTTTGAGATAGAGCCCCCAAGAAAACTACCATCAAAAGAGAGGGAGTCAGGAAGTGAGCAACAGAGGAAAATACAGCTTGGTCTCCACTAGAGTGAATAATGAATCCCCCAGAGTGGTCACGTGAATTCAAAATCATACTACTGAAGTTATACTTATGTAAAATATGGTCACTGGTTCCAGACCAATGGAAATATGTAACGTAGGTTCAAATAATCCATCATTTCCAAAGATTCATCAGTAACATTAATTAGGACCTAGCTATAAGGAAAAAATGAATATAATTATCAAAGATCTTCGGGGGGGGGAATTAATTCTCTCTATTACCCTTGCCAAGGGTAAAGTACAACAAAAAGAGAGGGGCCAAGGGGTAAGATCACAAGGTAATAACATAGAAACTACTTAGAAAGAAGCCAAAATCAGCATCATGACAAGCTGTAGTGCCTTGATGAACACAGAGACAATGAACAAACATTCCCAAAAGACAGAAAAGGAAGATAACTAATGAAGAGGATGAGAAAAAGAAATCCTTTCTAGAAAAAGGCACCAAAAAATGAAATTTTAACTAATGAACAAAATCAGCTGAATAGGAAGAGGGAAATGGGGATTTTGCTTACCTAAATGGGGGAGGGGGGAGAATTAAATAACCACATAAAAGCAAGAAAGAAAAAGGAACAAGTAAGTGAAACTCCAAAATTAAGAGGTAACAAACAAGAAAGGGGCAGAGAGGATTGAGGAATAGGTAAAGAGAGCTGGTGGGAATGGTTTGCCTTAAAAGAGGTTAAGCTAAAATAACTGGGGGGGGGGGAACATAGTTCTATGCCTGTAGAGAAAGGGGGGTGGGTGGGAGGATCTTAATTTGGAAAAAAGATATTATAGATAAACGAAGGAAAATATAAACCTAATTCTCATAACTCTAAACGTGAATGGACTGCATAACCCAGTAAGATGAATGAGTGGCATATTAGATAAGAAAACAAAACGCAACATCTGTTACTGAAAAGAAAATGATTTTAAAAACAAAGACAAACACAGAATAAAAGAAGGGCTGGAAAAAAAAACTGACCACGCATCAGATGAATCCAAAAGAGCAGCAGCTACAGTCAAGCTATCGACAAAGCCAAAAAAGAAAAATTC